AGGTAAAAAACAAGAAAAATAATCATCGCCAATATCTAAGTAATATCAAAGCAGTACAAGTATTGCTCCTGCTGGTTCTTCTTCGTCACCCTCCCTTCTTCCCCTCCGCCCAAAAAAAAAAAAACAAAAAAAAAAAACAGTAATGCTGCTTCGCAGATCCTGTGAACCGCCTGCTATTTATTTATGCGTGACATTGGCCCCCCCTTGCGCGGGGGCCATGCTTATTTTCTCTGTATCGTTCCAATTTTGACAGATGTCCCGGAGGACAAACCGCCAGTATTATATTATTATGAACTTCACTATGTTCTCTCTTAAATTCTCTTTTTCCCAAGCGCAGTTGATTTCTTCTTTAGTTTTCTTGTGCCCAGTTGATTTCTCCCCCTTCCTCCCCTCCCCCCCCTCCCTCTTCCCTGCGCCCAGGTGATCTCATCAGTTTTTTTTTTTTTTTTTTTTTGGTTTCTTCCTGTGCCTTGTGAATTAAGGAATCCGTCGATAGGGCGGAGAAAGTCTATCGGCTCTTTATGTTTTCCTTTTTTTTTTTTCGTTTTTTCATTCTGACGCCGAATATTTTATTTTAAACCGCGGCTACCGCCTGAAATTTTTTTTTTTTTTTTTTTTTTTTGCCCCCCGAACTCTTGTATAGACAGAGAAATTCAAAATCTGTGCCCAGTGTTGATTTAGCAAACCAAGGCTTTCCAGCCACTCAGCCATATAAGAGGGAGGGCGTTTCCTCCCTCCCTCCCTCCCTCCCTCCCTCCCTCCCTCGCCAGAAGCATCTGTGCCCAGGATTTGAACCCGTGACTTCTGGCGAGAGAGCCTTTGGATCGTCAATCAGACGGAGCACAACCGCAAAATAAGAGGGAGGGCGTTTCCTCCCTCCCTTCCTCCCCCCAAAAAAGAGGGAGGGCGCCTCCTGGTAGTAAGCGGAGCGGTCGGGAGAGGAGTTTTTTTTTTTTTTTTTTTTTTTAAAGTGGCTGAACTTCGAGGGAGAAGTACTCGTGTGCGAATCAGATTCGTTTCTGGTTCCGGGGAAAGACGAGCGTTTTCCTCATTCGAATCGAACGCATGGTCGTTATCGGTGAATCTACTCAAAACTCCCTCAGATGCACAGCAATAACGACCGTGCGTTCTATTCGGGGAAAGACGGCAGGTGGGTAGAGAGAGGGGTGAACCAGGTCTGACAAGATGACCTGTTCCTGGTCCTAATCCGGATCCTGGAATATTACTGTACTAGGTCCGCAGCTCAGCGGATGGATCTCTATCATTTGGTAGTTGGGTCGGGATCCTGCGCAGGTGAGTGGGAATCGTCATCAGGGGAGCATTGTCAGGTGGGTCGGGATCTCCATCGTGGGATCGTTGGCAGACGGGTCGGGATCAGTCATTGAGCAGCAGGGTAGTCGGGATCGTTGCCAGGTGGGTTGGGGTCGCTGGCGGATGGGTTGGGATCTTCATCACGGGAATCAAGATCATATCGTCACTCGGGCTAGTGGTAATCATCGTAAATAAAGATCATGGCTACCCGTCTTCACCCGAACAGAACGCCCGGTCATTATAGCTGTATTTGGGGCAACTTTCAGACCAGATCCAGCGAGAATGACCCCGGGGGTTTTATTCGTGTGAACACGGGTAGTAGTAATCATTGTAAGTAAAGATAATTGATCATGACAATAATAGGTCACAGATCCCTCACGCCTTTTCTTCCTTCCCCTCCCCTCCTCCCCTGCCCCCCTCCCCCCCCCCTACAATTTCCACGCTCTCGACGATTGGCTTAGGAATAATGCCGTTGTTACGAGTGACATGATGCACGAATGGGCTCATTGAGAAAAGCAAAAGAGGGGAAAAAAGGAAAAAAAGAAAAAGGAAAAAAAGAAAAAAAAGAAAAAAAAGGAAAAAAGGAAATTTGGGGCAAGACGGATAGGATGATGATATCAAGGAGAGAGAAAGTTCCTTACCGAGCAAAAAAAAATCAGAAAAATAAAAGCGTGAAAAATGGGAAAAAAAATGAAAAAGAAATGGGAAAAATGGGGAAAAGGTGAAAACGAAGAGTCGATCAACCAAGGACAAAGAGAAAGTTCATTGAATGTGACAGGCGGTTGTCCACGTGGGGTGCTGTGAGAAGTACAATGAACCTGATGTCTTCGAGCAAGGAGAACATGAAGAGAAAGTTCATTGAATCTTACAGGCGGTTTACCACGGGGCATTCTGCTGTCACAAGTACATTGGACCTGATCTCTTAGAGCAAGGAGAAGTCGCAACAAGGTTTCCTTAGCTGAACCTGTGGAAAAACCATCGAAAAAAAGAAGCGGATAAAAAAAAAGCAGAAACTTCAGAAGAAAAAAAATCAAAATTAAGGAAAAAGAAAAAGGACAAAACGAAGAAATGAAAAGAGCAAAGATCCAGCGAACAGTGTGAAAAGAATCGTCTGGGGAACGCTAAGCCAAAAACTCTCCCAGACTCCCCACCACCCCCTCTCCCCCCCTTCCTCCTCCCCCACCCCCAT